AGTGTGTGTGCGAGCGTGTGTGTGTGTGTGTGTGTGAGTGTGCGAGCGTGTGAGTGTGTGTGAGTGTGCGAGCGTGTGTGAGTGTGCGAGCGTGTGAGTGTGTGTGTGTGAGAGTGTGTGTGAGGGTGTGAGTGTGTGTGTGAGGGTGTGAGTGTGTGTGTGTGAGAGTTTGAGTGTGCGAGCATGTGTGTGTGTGTGTGTGTGAGAGAGAGTGAGTGAGTGAGTGTGTGAGTGTGCGAGCATGTGTGTGTGTGCGAGAGTGTGTGTGTGTATGCGAGAGAGAGTGAGTGAGTGAGTGAGTGTGTGTGTGTGTACCTGTATTTGAGCAGTGTGTATGTCCACACTACGGCGGCGGCGAAGAAGATGGTAGCCATTGAGATGTAGAGGCGTGGCAGAGGAATCTCAGCCGCCGACAGATAACCGCTGGGATTCTTCTCTGTGATCTCCACCTTACACACACACACTCAGTTTGATCCTGATCATGTGATATGCATCTCTGGGATGGCCAGATCCGGACCGCCGTACTTACATGGAGAGAATACGGGCGCAACGTCCTGGATCCCACGGGGAGGCAGTTGTGGAAGTCCAGATTGTAGAGTCCCTGCGAGACTGCGCTCATCGTGAGACGGAACTGAGAGCGGGAGACAACGCAAACGGTAAACGTTTGTGTATTTGAAACGCTGTGTGTGTGTGTGTGTGTGTGTGTGTGTGAGAGTGACGGCTTTCTCACGCTGAAGTTGAAGGAGTTGTCGTGTTGTTGCAGCTCCAGCGACATCCCGTCCAAACTCTTCACCTGATGGGAACACAGTTCAAGAATCAATGACAGAAACAGCTGTTTTAAACAAGGTTTTTGAAGAGTTTTCAAAAACAAATGTCAAATGTAGGGACACACAGGTACGTACCTTCTGGGAAATGGTGCTGCTGACAGCAGGTGTCACTTTAGCCTTCTCTTGTGAATGTTCTTTCGGTTCTGTCTCTTCAGCACTCGGCACTTTTTGCTTCTCTCCCTCTGCATTTTCTCTTTTCGTCCTCGCTGAGAAACACAGACACCATCAAACACACTCACACACACTTCAGGCTCACATGTATTAGTTTTACCTTTCCCTTCATCTGTAGTCTTCAGCTTCAGTTTGGACACCAGCGTGATGTCAGAATGGCCAAAGTGCTTCACTTGGACGCTGCACACACAATCACAATCAGTGACATTCGCAGTCACAGTAAAGTGTTTGAAATAAATCCTTCTGTGAGGTGATGTGGCTTCTAACACGGAATAAGGCACGCAACATATTTCATCGTATTCTAAGCAGTGATAAAGGCACTGCATTATTACTTTATTCTAATGAAAATTACAATAAGACGAACTCAGATAAACCATGTATTGGTTTAAATTCGATTAATCGTGCAGCCCTACTATAAGATACTTAAAAAAACACTCCTCATCACTGGACCGGACTCACCTGAGCTCCTCGGTGTCGATGATGAAGAGGATGAGCTCATTTTCACTCTTTTTATTCAGCAGCTTGCACTCATCCACCTCCTGGGCCTGAGGAACCACAAACACAAGCGTCAGGAATGAACAGAGCACCGAGAGAGAGAGCCGTCACAGATACTCACAGGGTAGGACAGGATGCCGTTCACTCGAGTCCGGGCCAGACTAAAGCCCACCTGCAACACAAACCCAGAGCAGAACCGTCTCTAATGAATGAAGAGGTGCACAAACCCCTTCACTGGATTGGGATGTTCTCTTTTATTCTGGAGGGCAAGGGCGGTGACTGCACCATCGAGGGTATTTTGCAGTATTAAACACGTATTTATACTGATTTCATCAGGCTCTGAAACTTCTTCAGAAAGAACAGAAAGCATGGCCTTCTCAGCTGCCGTAGCTGCAGCTCTTGCGTCATCAGAACAGAGTTCAACGCACCACCGTCTCTGTTTAAACAGGGTTTGCACCGTTTCGTCGGCTGAACGCAGCCCTGGCCACCCGCTGCAGGCCGGAGGTGAGGCGGACCGTATATGGTTTAGGGCGGATCTGGTCTTCATGGAGTCACACCTATAGGATCAGATTCCCGCCTGAAGTATTGCAGTCATGGATAAAAAAATAAAAACAAGCGTGAAAACAAAATTTAAAAACGCAAGTAAAAATATCTTGCACAAGATTTAAAAATGAAAGCAAAGTTTTCAGAATAGCAAACAATGATCACTGATTGAAAAATAAGAAGCGTAAATCAAAAAATTTATATTTTTGCGATATATGATGCGATTTCAATTTTTCCTTTCTCTTTGGAGTAATGTGTTTTTTTAACCTTAAACCGCATAAACACATTTCATTACACCAAATACACCAAATAATGTTCTTTTTAGCAACATCATATGACCCCTTTAAAAATAATAAGCATGAATCAAAACTTTAAACGCGTATAAAATCATATTGCACAAAATTTAAATATTAATGCAAATCTGTCTGACTTGCACACTGAACAGTTTTCCTCGGTTATATTTCTCTGTTTTTTGTGCTCTCAGACATTTTCTGCTTGTGTTTATTTGTTGTGTGCTTGTGCTGTTTGCCCTTGGCTCTTGTTTCCAGGTTCTGTGCTGCTTCTTCCAAACGTTGCTTTAGAGTTTCATGCAAATCAGGGCGGGCTTAAGCGTCCTCATTGGTCCACTAGGTCTAGATTGACAGCTCCTCCTCAGCCAATCAGATGAAGAGGGGCGGTGACGTCAGTGTGCTGGTCACTTGTACATCTCTCCACACAGGACACGGTTACACGTGTCTGCCTGCCACTGCTGTACGCCTACCTGGCCATCCGTTAACATTAAATGAGTAAATTAATGATGAATACATTAATGTAATGTGTTGCACTGACTAGGCTAGATCTGACTACAGAGGCCAGGTGGATTTGATATACACAATGATTTATTTGCATGTTGTGTTTATTTTACATATGCATGCAACAAGCTACATATATAATTGCATAACACTATCATAATGTTTTAAATATATAAAGTTAGAAAACAGCAACAAAATAACAGTAAAACAGCCAGCAGGTGGAGGCATGTATCTTTAGAGTAAGACATTAAATCATTCATCCAGTGAGGAATAAAGTGAATCATTCAATATAAGGCTGCTGTGTGATGCTTGTAGGACACTGTTCTGCTGAGGCTTTGTTTGGGCTCTTCAGGCTAAATGAGAAAATAGGTACAATATTAAACTCACTCAAAGTGTACTTGTTATATTGATTTTATACTACAGTTCAATAAAGATTTTCAATGGAGCTGATATTCAGGGAAAACACTCTTGCTCGTGTGATATTGCTTAGCTGTATGTCATTTTATAATCTCAGAGAAACACAAAATGTGATAAATCTTACAAGACCATCAACCTTATCAATGGCATACTGTACGTGAAAGAAAAAGCTGCAAAGCTGTTTACAAAAAAGCTCAATACTGCCTTCAGACAGCTGTGGCTGGGATGTATTACTCTTACTCATATTATCCTCTCCTAACAGTAATAACCATAAGACTTATTATCAGTCAGGCACATCAGTGACTTCGCGAGGCCGGTGCTTATTGTGGCTGCTCCCTTTCACTATGTGGCCATAGGCGAATAAATACAGGTGACTATAACCACAACGGGTCATTAGGACGACCCATTTACAGTTTTTTAAAAATTGGTTTGGTACTATTTTCATAAGTAAGGTGTACATTTTCAAAACTCTTAGTACAAAACTTTAAACTGATCACACGTGTATCACCCCTAGTCTTCCAAACTCGACACTGACATTGTCCCACACGATAACATAGATGACATCTTCACCCTGACAGGCCTGCTCAAGCTCATTCAGAAAAGCTATCAGGTGTTCAGTGCTGTCTACAGCCTACCACACCATCTTCAGATATAGCTGCACAATGGAGATGTTTCCCGCACGTTGTCCCGGCACTTGGTTGGTTGCCCTTTGGCCAATAAGGTTACAACATCCACGGCGTCTGGTTTTTGCCAGATTGAAACTGGCCTCATCAACAAAAATATGCTTGTGATGATTCACAGCAGCGTCCAGCTCCGTCACCCTCTAAAATAATAATAATTTGGTTAGCTCTTTTACAAATAAGAGTTGACATTGTTGAAATTGCATGTCATACAGTACACCAATTTAGTGTTGTACCTGAACATATTCTGAACGCAGTTGTTTCACCCGGGCATTGTTTCTCTCAAAAGGCACCAAGTAAATTTGTTTCATAGAAACCTGGTGCTTCTTCAAAAGGCGGGCAATAGTTGGAAGGCTAATTGACGGCACATTGGCAAAGCTGTCATTGCTGTTCTCAATAGCCTGCTTGATTTCAGACAGCCGTATGTCATTCCTTGCCCTGACCATTTCCACCACAGCTATCTCCTGCTGGTCAGGCTAAACACAGGGGCGACCACCACCAGGTTGTCTCCTGTTAATTCTGAGAGGACAACTATTTACTATTACAAATTACATAAAACTGTGATAATTACATGCTGTTCTTCTATACAGTAATGCCATTACTGTAACAGTAGACCATTTCCACCACAGCTATCTCCTGCTGGTCAGGCTAAACACAGGGGCGACCACCACCAGGTTGTCTCCTGTTAATTCTGAGAGGACAACAGTATGCTGTCAATATTTTACTATTACAAATTACATAAAACTGTGATAATTACATGCTGTTCTTCTATACAGTAATGCCATTACTGTAACAGTACTATATTGTGAAAGTATAGTGAAGTTACTATAGCAGACTTACCGGTTTTCTTGGCGAAAGGTTCTGATGATAGAGCTGACAGCTGACCTTTGTAAGTTAGGCTGAACTAACCTGGCAGCCTCTGCCATGGTAAGGCCTCTGTTAACCACATGGTCAGCAATGATGGCCAGCACATTAGAGATGATGGTGCGCTGTCTGCTGTCTACATTTCTCTGAAGACCACCTCTCTGTTGAGGAGCACCACCACCTCTTTCTCTTGGCCCACGTCCACCTCTCTGTTGAGTATGTGTGTGTGTGTGTGTGTGTGTGATGCGTGTACCTGTTTTTCTATTCTGGTGGGGACTTACACCTGAATACACACAGACTCATGGGGACTCGTGTCACGGTGGGCATCTAAATTGAGGGTAAACAAGCTAATAAATCACACAGAATGAAGTTTTCTGAAAATCTGAAAATGCACAAAGTCTCCTGTGAGGGGTAGGTTTAGGGGTAGGGTTGGTGTAGGGCAATAGAATATACGGTCTGTACAGTATAAAAACCATTACGCCTATGGAGAGTCTCCACAAGGATAGCTGCCCAGGCATGTGTGTGTGTGTGAGTGTGTGAGTGTGTGTGCGTGCGTGCGTGCGTGTGTGTGTGTGTGTATGTACCTACTTAACCATATTTTGGAGACATATTGGTACCCAGAAGTGAGCAAAACCTGACAAAATCACCCAAAACCTCTCTTTGAGGATGTCCTCATTTGTAAAACTGTGTGTTCTGTAATTTGTGACCATACAGCAGGATACAAGGCAGAGGAACTGATCAGAGATGTATCAGAAGAAGGGAGACAGATGGCATCAAATACAGCATTTTATATTACATTATGCCATGTGATACTGTATGTAGAGGCATATACCATGGTAGAGTCTGCACATATAACTCACTCTTCATCTGAAAAGATCAGTTACAGTATAGATTCTGTCATATGGCACAGTGAGGACATTTACGGCATTGACAGTAAACTCTGTTCGAGCACAAAACCTTATGGCCATGTCATACCTTCATCACACCTTCTGATAACACACTGGATAAATACTTTTACAAACATTATGGATTTTATGTGAGTTATGCAAGTTAGGTAATGTAAATGTATTTTCTAACATGACAATTATCGCCTGTATTTCTGTAATTATTTCAGCAACAAAGGTGATTTGAAACATGTATCTTGCGTTGTTTGCTCTTGAATGAACTGATAAAAGTACTAACCTGAAAGAAGATCAATCTATAATAACATTAAACTTATTTCATATTTTCTCAGAACCTTCTTGGATATCAAGACAGGCACCCTGCAATTCTGGCCAAATTAAAGATGCGTTATGTGTGAATTCACACGTTATACTGTAAGCATCATTAATGACCCCTGGTGTTTAATAATAATAAAAAAAAAAAAACGAAAAAAACTAAACTAAAACTAATCTTACTTAAACTTTTTATTCTAGGTGTGTTACAAAAGCAATGTCAAACCGAGTGAGGAAAGTCCTAACGTTTATGAAACATCAGTATTTCAACATTGTGCAGTGCAAGAATGACTCAAACGACAGATGTTACAAACACTCTTAACCTTCAGGCCATTGTATAAAAACAGATACTTCATTTGTGCCAAGAATCGATTGTTCCCTTTCAACTTTGAACTGCGTCCTCTAGGGGTCGCTATGGGGAACGCCTCGTCGTGACCCGTGTCTGAAGCATACATTGTAAAAACACCAACAACATGTTGGCCGTTGACAGCCATGACGTCACTACCGGTGCGATTATTAATATACATGGGCGCCGGGAGAACATGTCATTCTCTTCTTTGTCTTCACTGACTGTTTTATTTGAAGCGTGCATTTGAACGTGGTAAGAGCGATCTCTTTCCTATTATTATGGCGAGCACAAGCAGAACGTTCAGAGGATGTGTGCATCCGTGTTGTCGTTGTTTAACATCTGATGACACACACGATCTATGCGTTATTTGGTTGGGGCGAAGAGCATGCACGCGATGTCTCCGAGGGGGCAATCGGCGTGCACTGCGAGCGTTTTTCCAAGGAAAAAAGCTCCGCTCTCGTTTGTCTCTCTTTTCGAGGAAAGAAGGGCAGCCGTCTGCTTCCCGCGATTCAGGACCCGCCGCTGCTGAGGCACGGAAGGGAATGAGCTCGTGGGGATCGCAGGTGGATCTGGCCGATGAGTTTGAAGAGGGGTTTACCTCTCGCGCTCGTCGGCTGTGCACGAGAGTGAGCCGCTGGAGGATGATGTTATTTCATTAA